GTGTGTTACGTCAAGAATGGGTTACTTGACACAACTTTATTAAATTAAAATTCAATATATTGAACCAAAGAAATAAGATTAAATTCAAAGATCGTCTCGAATTTAAGTAATAGAATTCAAACAAAAAACCCATTTACAAAGGTCCCCTTTTACTTCAATTTTCTAAACCCCAAAATGGTTTGGAATCAAAGGTTGGAAAGGTTCACTTGGAGTAAAATGAAAAGAATTTAGAATAACTTTAAAGTGACTCAATAGAGTCTATATTTTAACAAAACAAGTAGAAAAGTATAACTACAACATTCAACTTACATTCACTGCTCTGCTTTCAGTCGTAAAGTATTTTGTATGTGGTTAAAAGTAATGCCGCACTGAATTTAAGACGTTGGATTAAATTCTTTATTTAAATGAATAAAATAATTAAAAATGTTACAAGACTTGGGATTTCAGATAATAATTTAGTCACGAAAGACTAAAATGGAAATTAAATAGTCATCAAAGACTATATAAAAATTAAAGGTCGCGAAAAACNAACTTCCCGGCAGGGAAGTTATTGTAATGGCCCCGAAAATCAAAAATCGATTTTTCATCAAATCTCCATGTTTCAAGGTCGTTTCGATGTTCCTAGACAATTTTAAACAAAATGTCTGACTGTGTGTGTGTGTGTGTGTGTGTGTGTGTGTGTTACTAGGTATGTACCTGGTCAAAATTTTGGTTAATGATTTCTCGTGAACGAATTGTCCGATTTGACTTTTTTTTTCAATCGATAGGTTTCCATTCAACCCAGAGCGGATTAGATTTTGGCTAATATCTGTTCAGTGTGTTACGTCAAGAATGGGTTACTTGACACAACTTTATTAAATTAAAATTCAATATATTGAACCAAAGAAATAAGATTAAATTCAAAGATCGTCTCGAATTTAAGTAATAGAATTCAAACAAAAAACCCATTTACAAAGGTCCCCTTTTACTTCAATTTTCTAAACCCCAAAATGGTTTGGAATCAAAGGTTGGAAAGGTTCACTTGGAGTAAAATGAAAAGAATTTTGAATAACTTTAAAGTGACTCAATAGAGTCTATATTTTAACAAAACAAGTAGAAAAGTATAACTACAACATTCGACTTACATTCACTGCTCTGCTTTCAGTCGTAAAGTATTTTGTATGTGGTTAAAAGTAATGCCGCACTGAATTTAAGACGTTGGATTAAATTCTTTATTTAAATGAATAAAATAATTAAAAATGTTACAAGACTTGGGATTTCAGATAATAATTTAGTCACGAAAGACTAAAATGGAAATTAAATAGTCATCAAAGACTATATAAAAATTAAAGGTCGCGAAAAACCCGAAATATCG